TGTCTTCCCCTCTTCCTGCCTGGGCAGCCGCTGACTGCAGAGGTCCCCAGCACGGTTTTCTCAGTCGGCAGCCTCCTGACTGGCAGCAAACAATCCAGCCAGCGCCAAGTCGGTGCCCTGCCCCGCTGGCCCTCTCTGGCTGGGAACCGCAGATTCCTCAGCATCCCCTGGGCCCAGGCAGGGCTGCCTGGCCCAGCCCCCGTAGCCCTTCTATTAATTAGCACTGGCAGCAAGCAGCAGCTTGCTGAGCGCCCTCGAGCCAAGGCTGCGAGTGTGTGTGTGTGCTGGAGCCACGGCTGGCTGCCTTCATTGTGCCACGAGCCCACAGGGATGTGGGCGGGACCTTGTGCTCTGAGTGGACTCCAGTGTGGCCAGCATGGTGGCAAGCACGAGGGAGGGTCAGGGAGAAGAGACAGGCCTGGTCCCACACAGGGAGGCTGCTGGGCACAGACCTGCAGCTCTAGGCAGCTGCTTTGTCCTCTTCCTTCCAGCTGGCCACGGTCAGTGCCACCGAGTGCCCTCACCCTGCTGTCTCCTCCAGACTCCTTGACATCTATGCCTTTTGGAACTCTCCCTACAGCACAGCAGTCACTTCACACACCAGCCCTTCTCCCTGCTCCTCTGGCCCTTTGGAGGGGCTAAGAGGGTCAGGAGTACCCCTAGTAGCCAGCAAGCACTTCGGGCCAGCAGGGTCCCAACAGCGGGGCAGAGGGGAAGAATCATGGTGGAACAGGACTCCGACATGCCCGAGAGTCTGCAAGCATAAGTCCGTGGCTTGGTCCCTGTCACAGAATGTGCCTGCTCAGTGAAGCCAGGGCTCCCAGGCCAAACGGGGAAGACAGGCTCTCCTTGGGGAACTCAGGCTGAGCGCAGAGCAAACACATGACCTGTACCCGCCGGGCACTGGGAGCACTGGTTGCACTGGAGCTCCTGCAGGCTCAGACCCCAGAGGAGACTCATGGAGGCAGACCATGTTCTTGCAAGGAGCCCCTGGGTGGGTAGGTGGGTGGGATGGCATGGCAGATTCTGAGCCAGCGATGCCGGGCCTTGGAGCACAACAAGAGTGGACAGGTGGACAGGCAGGCAGATCAAGCCTGACCTGGCTTTCCCCAAAGCACATGGTCTGTGGCACCGAGAGAACTGAAGAAACGGCCAAGGCTGTCTCCCGTCTCACCATGAGGCCAGAGAACCGGGACCTCGCAGAAGGCAGCTGCAGGATCCTGGCCTTCTCTGTATCCTGGTATCTGAGAACACCTTGGCCCTGACCTCCCGGCCCAGCCTCATGGGCAGGGGGTAGGGTGGCAATCTCCCTACTGGAGCTTGGAATCCCAACTGCACCACGTGTCCCTCCCCTCCCCCAGGCCTCACAGCTATAGCTCACATTGTTAGCACCAGGCCTACAAACCACCATACCCCCTGCCAGGAAAACCCACATAGCACGGGGCTACTTAGAACCCCAACATGAAACTGGCTACCACCGTCCTCCTCACTTCCTACCTGAACACAGCCAGTAGGAAAGGGGGGGCCTGAGGAGTCACTGCAGCTCTCGTTCTCCAGGGCCCCCACCCTAGGTCCCAACTACAGTACGATGCGCCCACAACTCCTTACAGGGCTCCAGGGAAGGCCAGCATCCCGTCTTGCACCAGGCCCGTGTCCTCTTCTGGAAAGGCCAGAGCAGGGTTCACAACCTGGAGCCCCAACTCCACTGGGGTTCACTCACAGACATGGGAGAGCAGGTGCAATGCCCCCCTGCAGCAGGCTCTCCAGTCTGAGCCCGCTGGACAGAGGCCACCACGTAAAGATGCAGAGGTTGTAACACACGGGGTGCATTTTAAGGTGGATAGAAACCAGTTGTATATAAACTAAAATTGAAATGTCAGTGAAGTAGTCACAGATGTGGCTAAGAACCTGCATTTTTTAAAAAACATATTGGTTACTCAATACCATGTCAATTAACTCCATAATGTTGTAAATTGTTGTTAATGTTATGTTGGGGCCTTTAAGTGGTCGGGATGATATCCTGCCAGTTTAGTCTTCAGACCAGAGATGGTCTGCCCAAGAAACCGTTGAAGGACTCTATGCTTGGTATATGCCTACAACGAAAGAATCCTGACTGCATTTGAACTGTAATATTACAACTAGGTAGAGGAATCCACCGTTGGGGGAGGGCACAAGGAGGGGTTAGGGGAATCCCAGAGCCTATAAAACTGTATAGCAAAACGAAATGTAATCAATTAAACACACACACACACACGGTGTGGCCATGGCAGTGCCATAGCTTCCCACTGGAGCTCCAGGGTAGCTCAACACCAAGCAGGACTGGTCCCAGGATTGGTTTGGGAAGGCCAGAGTACCAGAGGTGACCGAATGCCAGCAACCGGCCAGCAGGGAGTCACCGAGCAGCTACATCTGTGCTTGCCTGAGGAAAGGCCACGTTAAGACCCTTCCTCCCTTTGCCATCCCGCAACCTCAGAAGGCACAGGTTTCCACTTTCACTCTCAAGGCCGAGCTCACCTCTGGGGCACCACAGTGGCGCCAGAAGTGACACCCCTACACATCAACTTGCCCCCAAGATAGTAAGCCATACATGGTCAGTGTGTGGGGGCAAAACCAGCTCCATCTGCATCTTCTTTGCTCTCCTCTTGGGACACAGGACAAAGCCCATCATGCCTAGGTGGCCACGGTTATGCCTGTCTCTTGGAGCAAGACCCTGGTCACCTCTCAGCCTCCGCCCGCCCCTTTCCCCACCACCACCACCAGGAACAGGAAATGTCAGAATTCGGCAGTCACAGGCAGCCCTGAACTCCAAACCACACACTCCATCGATCACGGCTGGCTGGCGATCCTTTATTAAACCAATTCTGCTTGGATCAATGCTTCCTGCCCATCAAAATGATAGATACATCTTCCACCAGCCCAAGAATGCTGCAGCCAGAGGTGGGCTAGACGGAGGGCGGCTGGGCCTCACAAGTGCGGGTTGAAGGTTAGCGGGAGTTCCTATGCTGAGCAGCCAGGCCCTTGTCCCTCTGACCTTTGAAAAACGAGCTGAGCTATCACAGATTAGAAGCAGATGCATGACCAGGGGCCCTACACACACACACACACACACACACACACACACACACACACACACCCATGCACACAGATGCACACACAAGCCATCCCTCCTGGCTTTGCTCCCTTGAACTGCACCCACCTGCCCCCCCCCCAGGGCACAATAAGGGTATGGGGGGGGGTGTGTGTGCAGGCATTTCCAGTTGCCAGCCCAAACCCAAATCCGAAGGCCCCTCTTCCTGCTGCCCTTACCCACCATGTCCCCACCCCTGTCTCCCACATCCTGGGCAGCCTGCAGGGGCCCTGCGGGCAGACACGTCACAGCCGGGTGGAGGGATGCACAGGACGAGGAAGGCTCCCATCTGATGCGCTCACGTTAGTCCTTCACCAGCCAGCCAGGCAGGCAGGGCAGGGCGCAGCCGCCGGAAGGCCCTCCATCAGAACTTGTCATTGATTGGCAGACACTGGGCTCACCTGGGCTGGCCCTTGGCGGGTGCCCACCCATAAAACCCCATCAATGGGCTTGATGCTAAGAACTCGTAACCAAGCTCTGCTGAGCTAAGCCAGGGAGGAAGTCCCCTTCAAACAGTCTCAAGTGGTTGGCCCAGGCTTGTCTGTTTCCACCATCAGGAGGACTTGGGTGGTGGGGGGCAATGGCACCTCCTGACCCACCCACTGATTGACCAACTGGCCACTGCTCCCTTGCCCACCCTGGGCTCTCTCAGGTCCCAGTCGCAGCTGGAGGCGGACGATCCCACCTTAGCTTGTACCCTTTGACAATGACTGTGGCTCTCTCTGCCCGTCCAGCAGCCACCGCTGGACCCTGGAATTCAGGCTGAGAAAGAGCGGTCCCAGAAAAGGATTCAGCTAGAGAGTGTTACCTGACTGGCCACTCCCAGCCCAAGAAATCTCTCTCATTGGATGGAAAACGGCTTTGCTCTCATTACAAACCAGCTTCCCAGAGCTGGTGAAGGATGGCCGGCTCTGGGGCTGGCCAGTGGCTCCCCGCACGGGCAGGTTGGCCGGTTAACTCGCCAGGGAGGTAGGCAGACAGGAAGAGGAGCTGGAATGGTAAAGGAGAACCTGGGGAGGCAGGGCAGGGTCCAAAGACCCAGAAAGAAACTCAGCCCCAAGCAGGGAGTTGGGGGAGGTGTGAGAAGATATTCCAGACGTCAGAGAAATTCAGGGAGACCTCAGAACCTTGGCTAGGGTGAGGCATCCCCGAACCCAGCCCATTGTTTGCACCCAGCTGCCCAGAAGGCCAACATGGTGTCAGCCAAGCTATGGCATCTTTCCCAGGTGATGAAAGAGAGGCAGGGTCTCCTCTTTCTCTCTCTCGGACTCTTGTCACTGAGGTGGGGCAGGGGGCTGGGGGGATACAGGACAGCTGGCCATCAGACAGGACATCAGAGCTGGTCACTGAGCACTATACGGGAGCAAGGTCACTGTCCCGCTAAGCGGACAGAAGCCAGCTTGCCCCGGCTGCCTGCTCCTGGGCCAGCCCTGGAGATGAGGGCCCAAGGTTAAGGTGGGCTAAAGCACAGGTATGGCAGTGCCCTGTGTTCCCCGCCTCTCCCCAGCCCTTCACCTCGGGCTCCCCAGGAGCCAGCAGCAGACACTGAAGCCTGCAGCCAGCAGCCCCAGGGGTTGGCCAGTGCAAGGAGGTCTTTCAACCACACTTGGCCCAGCTCTGCAGGCCAGCCTGACTGTGCAGCCTTGAAGGTGCTCCCACACTCAAGACATCTTTCCAACCTTTCCAACCTGGAGAAGCACTCAGGGCACGGAGCCCCAAGGAGGAAAGTTAGGTAAGGTTAGGTGCCCTGCAGGGGGAAGTTCGCACCCTTCCCCACTTTCTACCCGCCCCCCCCCCATCTGATCCCCCACTCCGAGCTCCCTGCAGAGGAAGGAAAGTTAACTCCAGAATGCTCAGCGGCCAAGCCCCTTACCTGAAGTCGCTATAGGGGTGGATGATCCAGAAGCCGGCTGACTTCACCCGCTCCTGCTCGCGCTCCACCGCCTTCTGGCTGCCGAACATCCGCAGCGAGAATTTGTTGACCCCCGGCTGGAGCATGGCCCCGAACTGGCGCTGCATGAAGCCTGCCTGGCCCAGGCGCGCCTCGGCCTCCGGCAGGATCTGATCGGCCGCGGCCGCGCCTCCCTCCACTTTGACAGCCGCGTCCGCCGGGCGCTGCTCCGAGCAGCAGGAGGAGGAGGGGGCCAGCGGCGGTGGCGGTGTGGCTGCGGGCGGCGCCGGGGCGCAGGGGCGCTCAGGCTCGGCCGCCAGGCCTGGGGGCGTCCTGTCCTCACCCGGGGACACGTCGCCCTCGGCGATGAGCCGCCGTTCTTCTGCGGACTCGTGTAGGTGCCCCTGGCTGCCACTACCTCCGCCGATGCTACCGCCACCGCCCCGGCTGCCCAGCGAGGCCAGGCTCCCGCGGAAGCGCCTGCAGTCGCCGTTCGTGCTGGACTTGGCCGCCGCGCCACGGGCCGGCCCCTCGCCGTCCGCCGCCCCGAGGGCCGCGCCCCGGGACTCGGTGCTGCCAGCCGCCGCCGCTGCCGCGGAGGGCGAGGGCGAGGGCAGCGGCCGCAGCCGGATGCTCCTGCGGCTAGGGTCCTGGCGACCCCCTGCGCCCTCGTCCTCGGCATCCTCCTCCTCGTCCATGATCCACGCCTTGGCCCCCACCTGCTGCGGGAGGCTGTACAGCCGCTTGCGCATGGACGGCGGCAGCTTGTCCATGGCGCCGGGGCCGCACGGCCGGCCCGCTCCAGCTCCGCCCGCCGGTCCGCCTGCCCGGCCACGCGTCCTTCGCCGCCCGCGCACCACCAGCCGCCTCACGCGCCCATGCTCCGAGGCCGCGCGCCGCCGAGGGGAAGGTCCCGGCCCCGCTCGGCGCCGTGGGGCTCGCCGCGCTGCGCCTCCCCGTGGGCCGGGCTGGGCGCGGGGACCCCGCGGGCCCCTCCCTCGGCGCCTTGCTCCCTCCCGCGTCCAGGGGCGCGGCGCGCGGCCGGCTCCGGTGCCCCGCCCCCGCGGGGAACAATGGGCGCGGGCAGCGGCGGCGCGGCAGCCGCTCCGGAGCGCAGGGCGCACGGCCCGCGCGTCTCCCGGGCGTGGGTCCCGCGGGAGGGACGGAGGGCGCCGACCGGCCCCGTGCAGCCGCAGCGCGGCCGGTGCAGAGTAGCGGGGACCCCACCCCCTGCCGCGAGCCCGCCTGGCCTCGTCGATGCTGTGCGGCTGCCGAGCGTAACCCGCGGCTGCGGGGCTTACATCAGCGGCCGCCTCTCCGGAGCGCCCTCCGGCCGCGCAAGGGCTCCCGCGCCCTGGCAGGTTCGGCAGCGGCGCAGCGCGCGGGTTGCCATAGGAGCCGCGCCCGCAGCTTGCCTGCCCACCTGGGCTTCTTAAAGGGGCAGCGGCGCGCACGCCAGGGCCGGGCCGGGCCGGGGGCGGGGCGGCCCGGCGGGGGCGCGGGGCGCGGGGCACGGGGCGGGAGGTGGCCTCGCTCCCGCGCCCTCGGGTCGCTCTCTGCGGACCCGGGCTGGGAGCGCCGCCCAGCCTGGGACTCGGGCTTGGGCAGTGATTTCCCCACCCCACGATGGGCACGGGGGCGGGGTTTCCCAGCCGCCGGCTCCGCGCGCTCCGGCCTCGCTGTCCCCGCGTGTCAGCTAGGGCCTGGGGCTCCGACCCTCCTCGGGGCGCGCGCACGGAGCCGGCCTTCCCCGCAGCTCCCGGGAGACAGGGGAAAGTCCGGGACCGCGCCGCCCTGGGGCTCCCCTAGGATCTTTCTGCAGAGCAGGCGTAGAGGCAGTCCCGCGTGGGTCTTCCACCCCCCCCCCCAAGAAGCCTCCCAGCGACCCAGCGAGAAGGGTGTGGGGGACTCGGGAGGCCGCCAGCGCAGAACGGTGTCGGGGAGACCCGGCCCTTCGAGGTAAGACTTCGAGGAAATGCGCCTGCGGCAGCCTCCCGCATAAAATCCGAACGCGCGATCCCGCGCGCGCCTCTCCGGGGCCCTGAAGGGCTCCCACACGGTGGCCGGCGGAGACGGAGCGGGAGGTCCCTTCACCCAATCTCTGGGTTCCCATGCAATTGGGGCACCTGATGTGAGCACCAACGCTAGGGGCATCCCTGCGCCACTCAGAGCCGTCCCACCCCAACAGCTGCAGGGTCCCCCTGCCTGGGAGCTGGCGGTCCCCTTCCCAGACTGGCAGAAGATCCATCCAGCTCTGTGTGTGCGCGCGGTGCCGTTTGAGGCACAGCCTGACACCCACATTAGCCCAGAAATGGGGGTGGGGTTCGGGTGTAGGGGCAGAGTGGGCATTTAGAAGGAAGAGCTTAACCGGTGAAGGGTTTGCTGTGCCACCCCCTCATCCACGTCCACTGGACCACAGGGTCCGGATTGGGGAGGGTGCGCTGCGGTGATGGCGTGGTCTGAAGCTGGCTTCTACTTGGAGCAGTTCTGAGCTGACACGTCTGGGCACAGATGCCCAGCGCAACCCGCGCGCTGCGCCGCTGCCGAACCTCTCTGCATGCCCTTGGATCTCCTTGACAGTGTTCTCAGCCTGTGAGGCGTGCCCGCCCCATGCACCAGCCAGGGGGTGGAATGAGAGGACTCGGTCCCACAGCTCCCTTCTCCGGGCTTCGCTGTAGCCCAGGAGCCAGTGTGTCCTAAGCCAGCCTCGGGAAGTGAACCCACACAGGCTTCGCAGAGACAGGTGGAGATGGGCGTGTCCTGACTTCTAGGAACCCTTTCCTGATCTTACCTCTTGCCCACCCCCCCCCCAGCCAAAGAATCCTGGACTTCTCAAGGGTACTGTATAGGAAAAACCTCACAGGGACACACAAGCTGGCTGGGGGGCTGGGGTGGATGGCACTGAGTTCCACATTGCGGGGAGAAAGAACTCTGCTCCGGAGTGACAGACAAAATGCCAGATTACGCACCTGGTAAACTGTGGCCGCTGAGTGTGAGAGGTGTGGGACAGGGAGACCACACTGAGCTTGGGGTACTCAGGGAGGACTTCCTGTTGGAGGAGGACAGATGGGGTTGAGAAACTGCATGTCTGCCCTCCTTACACCCCATTTGCTGGCACACAGAAAATTGTCGTTTTCCTAAGCCTGGTGTGTCAGTTTCACATGGTTCACTCTGCGATTCTTCTGCTTGTGAGCAGCTTGCCCAATATTTCTTCCACAAACACACCCGCGCGTGCACACACACACACGCAGAGCAAGGGCCTGGTGGAGCTGAGACTCCACCTTCCTGCCCTGCTGGCTCAGACAGGTGGGCATAGGTGCACGAGGGTCAAGCCGATCTGATCCTGGCACTGCCACAGCAGAGAGGAAAGAACGGGATGGGGAAAGAAGGTCCCTGTAGCCTTGTATTCTAGAAGGGTCTGGAACCTGTTCTGATTCTGGCATAGCCAGGACCTGGGCACCCCAGTGAGGAGCAGGCCCTGCCTCATCAGGACTCAGATAGAGACCAGACCAACAGAGCAACTGCCAAGAAGGCTTGGGTGCTCCTGGCAGATGGCCTGGGGAAGAACTAGCTGGGCGGGGAGAGGAGCAGGAGCTGGGACTCGGGGAGGGCGGGAGCTATCGGTGAGATGTGGAAGGCATGCTGGGGGCGGGCTCAAGCTGATTGTATATTCCAGACCTTATTTGGCAGGGACCTGGATGGACAGAATGGGATGGGAAATTCCAGAAGTTTGTTTGCTAATGGGTGGAGGGCAGCGCAGTGGCTCGCAGACCCAGCTTAGCCAAGGCTAAGGGGAGAGAGGCAGGGAGAGAGAATGAACACAACTCAGGAGATTCCTTTCTTAGAAGGCTGTCTTTATTCTAAGATTATATCTTTGTTGCACTTACTGTGTTAAAATGTCCTTTTGTGAAATCATGATCTTGAGAGGTTTCTTTTTTCTCCTTTATTCTCATTAAATAAAAAGTTGCCACAGGATTCTCTGTCCTTGCCCCTTCCCTCCCCCGCTCCAAATCATTTAAAAATATTATTGGTCTGTAAACTCTAAAAGTCTAGGAAGTCCGTCTGGAGCAAGCCCAGTGGAGCATGATGCTGGCAGACAGCAGCTGCCACCTTGCGTGCCCCTCTGCCACCCGCTGCCTGCGTGTGGCTCCGGCCTCCCCGTGGGTGCAGTGGGTTTAAGGCTGTTTACCTCCCACGGCACTGCCAAGGCCAAGTCGGGACTCAAATGCACCTGTCACTGTGTCCCATTTGTGGTTGGTTCTCAGGGAACCCTGTGTGATGAGATGACTGAAGGCCACACCTGTGTTCTAGAACCCACTTTAGGTGAGATAGTCTCCTTAAAGAGGAGGGAGCAGCTACCCATGGGGCACGTTGGAGTGCCAGCTCTGTTTCTGAGTCCAGTTTAATGTGCCCGCTGCTGAGTAGCAGTTGATGTCCCTGCTAGCCAACTGGGACAGCCACAGGAAGCTTCTTACTTCAGCTTCTCTGTGCCCTGGCTGTAGGGGAAGTGAACCAGCAGATGGAAAATCCATCTCTGTCTTTGCCTCCTCCTCCCTCCCTGCCTCCTTCCTTCCCTCCCTCTGCACACCTGGCCTGGAGCTCCCGCACGCTGACTTTGCCAGCCAGACTCTAAAGGGAACAGAGAGAGACTTCCTGCTGGGAGGGTACACCTGGTAGGCAGCCTCTGAGAAAGGACGCTGGGCTCAGCAATGTCTCCCCAGGGTTGAGAGCTCAGCAGGCAGGGAGATGCCCTGGTTTGTGTTGTACCCGCTGGACCTGAGGCAGCAAAGCCCCATCTGCAAGGTGTGTCAGTCAGCAGGTTCATGGGGCTCAGAGCAGCAGTTCTGCTCGGCGGGGTCCAAGTGAGCTTCCCAGAGGAGGATAGGGAGTTAGGGTTTCCAGACAGTGGTTCCTGTGTGCGTATTCACAACAGCAGAGGCAGTGGAGTGGCTTCTCTCAGGGGTGCTAACAGGATGGAGAGCTAGGCACAGGTGTCTGACTTAGGGGCCCAGGAAGCTGTGGACCTGAGCTGGCTCATCCTGACCCCCTCCCCGGTGCCCACCATCCTGCCACCTGCAGTAAAGGTGTGAGTGCATGCACAAGGATGCCCCTTGCAGGCTCAGCGCTCACCGGGCTTGCCATCTGCATCCCTGCTCATTCAGCTCCATGCCTTCAGGGTTTAGAAGCAGCAGCCATCCATCCCACTGTTTCCCACACTGGCCACTGGTCAGCAACCCCCAGCCCAAACTCCGCTGTCCTTGATCTCTCCCGCTGTCCCATCCTGGCACCTTGTTGCTCTCTGGGGCCTCAGCCAGGGGACTCTGGTGGAACCTCCTGCCTGCCCCCTTCTTCCTCCCTCCATCCCTCCACCAGCCCCACCAATCCCACACTGGGACAGGGCTGGCTGCAGGAGGATGTGCTGCTGACAGCTGCACCAGGCCTGCACTCCATCAGCTTGTCCTCCCTGGGCTCCAGGACGTCTGCGCCACCTGGACTCAGAGCCAGGCCACGGGGGTGGGAGGAGGACGCCTGCGAGGGGAGGCCCCCCTAGGTGCCAGCTGAGCCACGCTGCCAGGAGCTAAGTGCCAGAGACTTCTCTGACCCAGGTCTGGAATTCATGATCTGTCAAGGGCCCTGGATCCTGGGCTGGAAGAGGAGCGGGGAGATGAGTGGCTGGGGCATTGCTGGGGACCCCAGGGAGTACACTTGGCCCGGTCCCACGCTGACGCCAGGCTCTGCCTGCCAGCTCCTCCAGCCTCTCCGGGACTTCTAA